CACGCGGCGACTTGGGAGGGAAGGTTGGCAGAGGTTCAGCGCTCTCTTCGCCGACAAGGTCGAAGGTCCACACCGTACTGTACTCCTCCTGGGCGCGTGTGCACAGCTCCGCGGCTGTGTGGGAACAGTCGTGCGGCAAGCACAGGTACTGCAGTTCACAGCCCGCTGCATCCCTCGCCTGCATCCCAAAAGGCGAGCCAGGCACGGCGAGAGTGAACAACACGGCGGCGCATGGATCACCACCAACATGCAGCCAGGCGCCAGGCAGCCTGCAGGGCAGCCGTTGGGCGCATCTGCTGCTGGCTGTCGGCGCGAGCGCCCAGACAGTCCCGGCAGGCGCTGACCGCCATTCGTAGGTAGAAGCGGTTGGCCGCGCCGCCGGCAGGCTCCAGGATCCATCGCGTGGCCGGGGTGCGCTCCAGCTCCAGCGAGCCCTGGGCTGGGCCGCAGCCGGTGCTGCCGGCCAGGTAATTTTCGCAGTACTCGCCCGGAGGGTATCGCCCCACGTTCTGCACGGGCAGCCGGTGCAGGGAGGCCAGCGGGCAGTTCTGCCTCGGCGGGAACTGATGCCCAGGGCTCGCTGAGCTGCTGCTTCCTGATGTGGAGGAGCCTCATGTGGAGGTAGAAGAGTTCAAGGTTCAACTTCCCCAACCAACCTGCAAGCTGATGTGCAGGCCCTGCAGGCGGGCGGTCATGTCGGCTCCGATGCCGTTGCGAGGGATGAGCCACCAGCTCTGGCGGTGGCTGCCGTCGTTACGGTGCCAGCCGTCGGGCACATGGCCCCCGCTGCACGGCCGCACGCTCAGGTACGCTGCGGCAGCGGAAGATGCAGGCATGGGAGAGGCGTGGGAGAGGCGTGGGAGAGGCGTGGAAAGCTCTCCTGGTGCTGCCAGCCTTCACAGCAGCGCCATGCCAGTGCCTGCTCAGGGTCAAGGCGTGGCGGGGCGCGCTTGCCTCCATAGCTGCCGCACTGCTCCCGGCCGTGCAGCAGCCGGACGGTGTAGACAGGGTCTGGCGCCAGCCCAACCTCCAGCGCCGGAGCACCTGCACCCCATGGCACTACGCCCCATAAATCCAGCTGCTGGTGCTGGGCGGGCTGTCCAAGCTGCTGTCACGCGAAGGGCTTGGCGCAAGAGGGGCGCAGCACACGCTGGCTACTCAGATGTGTGAGAGCTCCGGGGGTGCGCACCTGTGGCGGCCAGCAGGATGGTAAGCAGCAGCGGCAGGGGTGCCGCTAGACTAGTGGCGCCAATGCTCAGCTGCTGCATGCCTCTGCAGACACAAGAACGTCGGTGTGCACAGGTAAGGGGTGTGCTGACAGCCGGCGGTGTGGTGGCGGCAGGGCGGCGGCGGCTGGCCCGGCTCGCTACCAGCAGGCCTGCGCCAGTCGCCCACGACCTCCGGAGCAGCAAATATCTCAGTTGTCGTTCCCCTGATGCTGCCTTCCAAGGCTCGCCGCGAAGTGCAGACTCACGCTCCCACACTCGTCCATGCGCGCCTCGCGACCAGAGTTGGTGACTAGCATGGGTGGAAGGGCTCTGGGTTCCAGGAAGTCAGAAAAGAGCCCAAACGGCCACGTACGGGCACACGTACCGCCTCTGCCCCCCCACCTTCCAGTTTCCATCTACCCCTTTCAGCTGCCTGAAGCATGCAACGCGCTGCAGCACCGATACACTGGCCCCTCCGATTTAAAAAAACAGGCTGCAGCGAGGACACTGGAGGTGCATCTTTGTCGCGTGTCCGTGTTGGGGGGCAGAGATCTCACCAACGGGAATGGGACCGCAAGATGAGAAGGTATTACACTGGGCACTGGGCACACACATATGAGTGCGGTGGGAAGTGCCTCAGCGCTGCTCAGCCCCCGCCACCGCAGCCGCCTGCTGCGCCAGCGCCAGCTGCTGGACCGCCAGCGTCGCCTGCTGCACCGCGCCAGCAGCGGCGGCCTGCTGAGTGGCTGCTTCCGCTTGCTGCGCTGCACCAGCAGCAGCAGCAGCTTGCTCCGTGGCTGCCGCTGCTTGCTGTGCTGCACCACCACCAGCAGCAGCTTGCTCGGTGGCTGCTGCCGCTTGCTGCGTCCCCGTGGCAGCGGCCTGCTGCTGTGCTACATCCCCAGTGGCAGCGGCCTGCTGGGCCACGCCTTCAGCGGCTGCCTGTTGCACAGTGCCAGCCGTAGCGACGGCCTGGGTGGCCTCTGCTTGCTGTGCCCCAGCAGCCCCAGCCGCACCCTGCTGTGCCCCAGCGGCAGCTGCTTGCTGGGCGGTTGCCGCTGCATCCCGGGCCGTGTCAGCAGCCGCCGCCTGCTGTGTCGCACCCGCAGCCGAGGCCTGCTGTGACGCATCAGCCGTCGCTGCCTGCTGCGCTGTGCCAGAAGCTACCCCTTGCTGCTGTGCGCCTGCAGCCTGTCCTGCCGCCGCGCCTGCCGTCGCCCCTTCCTGATGCTGCTGCAAGGCTGCGGCAGCCGCTTGCGCAGCGGCGGCGGCATCGGCAGCCGCCTTTGCAGCCGCGGCAGCCTGCGTGGCAGCCTTCTCCGCCGCATTTGCATGCTGCTGCGCCCCGGCCTGCTGCGCCTGCGCTGTGTCGCCTGGCGGCAGGGGTGGGCTGGGCCGCGGCGGCTTGGGCGAGGGGGGAGGCTTTGCAAACTCCACAGCACCAGGCTTGCAACGGAACCTGCAACTCAATCACGCATGGACCGGTTCTCTCATGGTGACTGCGCCCACCCTGCCCGTAACGCGCTGTGTGCTCCCCTTTCCCATTGCACAGAAGCAGCACTGTGCCACGCGCCCCCATGCCATGCACCGTGCCCACCACTCCCGGCCCGCCCTGCCGCACCTGAACACGCGCCCCTCGTGCTGCCCGCTGGTCACAAAGTGCTCCCAAATGGTCTCGGGGCCCCACACCGGCAGGTCTGGGTTGTGTGCCTTGTAGAACTCAAAGTCGAAGCAGGCGCTGCGGGGTGGGCAGAGGGGCAGGGCACAGCGAGACACAGCACGTGGCGCGCGCAGGCCAATACACACGCATTGGCTACAAGAGCACATGTAAGCAGGCCCACCGCCTCCACCGCATCAGCACAGCACTGGCGGTCATGGCGCGCAGCAGCGCCGCTCACTGCCCGCGCGCCCTCATGTTGAGTATCTTCATGTTCCTCAGCTCCGTCTTCTTGGTCGTGTACTCGTTGTCGGTCAGGTTGAACTGAGACGGGCCGGGGAGAGGGAGGAAAGCGGAGAGGGAGCATGTGGTGGGACAACAGGTGCGACACTGGCAGTTTGGCAGCAGCGTGGGGAACAGCGGCGCAGGCACATGGCAGGGGCAACCAGTGGGGCGCAGGGGCCAGCCAAGCCTGCTCAAGCGCATGGCAGACCCAGCCCCTACTCTGTATGCGCCCCCGACCAAGCAACCAGCCACCTGGCCCCACCTTGTGCCGCGCCCAAATGCTGTACTTTTTTGCGTGGGTGGCGGTGGCCCACTGAGCCTCCAGCAGAAACTCCTTGACCTGCGGTGTGTGGGGCGGGCAGGTGTGCGAGTAAGCCAGGGGTGGTGGGGGTGCGGGTGGTGGGGTGCGCACGGCAGGCGTGAGCGCATCTTGGAAGGCAGCAGCAGCAGCAGCAGCAGCAGCAGCAGCACTAGCGGCACCGCAGGGGCGTTGGGCCTGACCGCTGCCTGGTATTATTCCTGCCCACAGCTGCCTTGCCTTGACAAACATGACCTCAAAGGGCGAGATGTTGATGCCGTCGTACATGTGGTCGGCATACGGGTTGATGCTGCGGTGCGCGTGTGGGGGGGGATGGTGGTGGTGTGCGAGGGGGACAAGGGGAAGGAAAAGGGGAGGAGGGCTGGTGTGATGGGGCGGGATTGCGTGATGCGATGCTCCAAGCAGCCAGACTAAACCCACCCACACTGCACCGCACAATCCAGCACCCTGGCGGGCCATGCAGGCCAGCGGCATGGCCCCAGGCCAGCACCCGGCCCCACCCAGCGGCGCTCACCCCGCGTTGCAGCCCCAGTGCGACTTGTCGCGCCAGTCCACCCCCTGGTACCGCAGCATCAGGCTGTCGATGTTGTAGCCGGCGTTGAGGATGGCGGCGCTGCTACCCATCTCGGCGTACCTGCGGGGCGGCAGCGGCAGGGCAGGGCAAGCGAGAGATGGGGCAGGGCAGCAGCACTGGCGATGGTGGGGAGAGCAGCGCAGCAGGCGCGGCAGACAGCAGCCAGCGCGGGACCGCCAGCCTACGGCAGCGCAATGAGAGTGGCTCATCCGTTGACATCGGATGCTCCGCCGCGGCGGCCTGCCCCCTCTCACCAGATGGCGTCGTGGATGGAGCGGTAGCACTTGAGCACGCGGCCGTCCTGGTGCAGCAGGCGCAGCCCCACCTGGTCTGTGGCCACCACATAGCTCTGCACGTGCGGGTTGCGCCGCATCTCGCCGCTCAGCACGCCGCCCTTGTTGGCGCCCTCGCAGCTGCAGATGCAGGGCGGGCGATCGGGGGTGGTGGTGCGGTGTGGTGGGTGGCGGAGGGCAGGGAGGCCTGGTCTGCTCAGCTGCGCCGTGTGTAGAGCAGCAAACTACCACGAAAGGATGCCCCTTCGGCAGGCTCCGCGCAAGCCAGTGCTGGGGACCAATCCGCGTGCCCCCGCCCTCCCAGCCACCCACCCCTGCCTGCCCACCCTCCCCCACAGCCTCACCTGATGGTGGCGCCCACCAGCTTGGTGGTGTCGGTGATGCGCCGCGTCAGCACCTGGGACCAGTGGATGCTCCTCTGCAGCCAGCCAGGCGGCAGCACGACAGCGCCGCCACGCGTCACGAGCAGGGCCTGGGCGCAGGGCGGCGGCTGCTGGCCCGCGATGCATGCGCCGCCATGCACGCGACAGGCAGGAGTTTGCAGGGTGGGCAAGGCGCCGGGCTGGGCACCGCACCGGCCAGTAGGAGGGCAGGAAGGGGCCCCTGACGGAACTGTTGAGGAAGATGATGAACTGGTAGCGCGCGGTATCCACCACCCGCATCTCTATGGCCTGCACGCCGCACGCGCGGTCAGCACCAGCCAGCCTCCTGCCCCCGGATCCGTTGACCGCTGACCGCGGCCGGCCCCAGAGGGAGGGAAGTCCACCAGGCCGGCCTAGCCCTACGCAGGCAGGGCGGCAGGCGCGCAGCTGCCACAGCGCAGGGCCACCCACCCATCCAAAGGTGCCCCAGTCGTAGCACTCGTTGGGGTGCGGCACCGCATGCACGTTGTCGGGCAGCGGCGGCAGCTTGGTGTCCAGCACGCCCTTGCCCTGCACCGGCGCGTGGCGGCGGCGGCAGCACCCAGCAGCTTGGGGCATTACACCCGGCAGCGGCAGCCCCAGCCACTGCCAGCCAAAGCCCATTCTCGCTAGCAGCCCCTCTCATCCTCCTGCATCCACACACACACACACACACACACACACACACACACACACACACACACACACACACACACACACACACACACACACACAGGGCCAGCCCACCTCCTGCACCACGACGAGGTAGTCGCAGCCGTCATTGGGCCTCACCCCAAACTCCAGAAAGTACTGCAGGTTGCGCTCGTACTCCACATCTGCGGTACGGCAGGCGGCGCGGGTGGCGCAGCCATGGCACGGCAGCAAGGCAGGGCGGGCGCGCACAGCCAGACGGGTGCACAGGATGGGCGCAGGCACGCAGCCGGGCAGGCGCAGCCCTGCGGGAAACGAACGCAGAGCAGAGGCTGCCTGCCCCGTGCCTGCTGCCCGCAGCGGCGCCGCGCCGCCCACCTGTGTGCGCATACACGTAGATGACGAGGGTGTGGGCGGTGCCATCCCCGAAGCGGTGCATGCCGTGCATGCCGCTCAGCGAAACGGTGTGGATGCTACGGGCGGGCGGGTGGAGCGAGGCGCGGGGCTGGGTTGTTGGGCCCGCCGGGCTCGCTCGCTCGCTGATGCAGAGCGTCAGCGGCCTGGGCTGCTGCTGCAGCATGCGTGTGCAGGCGCGGCCCCGGCCCCCCGCACCTGAAGGTGTTGTGGGTGGTGAACAGCACATAGGCGCAGAACAGGAAGGCGGCGCCCACCATGGAGGCAGCAAGCCCCAGCCGCACTCCTGGCGCCTTCTGCCCCTTACGCCTGCGGCTCAGCGAGGCAGGGGGGAGGGTAACCACGCCGCACTGCGACACTGCGAGGAGTGGCAGCGCAGGCAGGCAGGCAAGCAGGGCGGAACGCGGCAGGTCGGCAGCAGCACCCACCCGGCCCGGGGCTTGCTGAGCGTGCTGTCCCGACTCCGCCCGCTCTCCATGTTGTCTACGGAGTGGCTGACAGCCTGCTCAGAGAACCCCACTTGCTTCCCCATGGCGCCGGCCTGCCACTAGCGGCGGCGGCCGCTGGCGGCGGTTGTGGCGGGGCGAACGGCCCGCGACTGCTGGGCGTGTCCCGCCTTGCCAGAACGGCCCCAATGGAGGGGGTCTCCCTGTGCGAGCTGCGGCAGGGCAGTGCCCAGAGCACAATTGGAGTTAGGCGTAATCGCTGCTGTCCAGCCGTCGTGCTGCTCAGCTTCCTGCCTTCCTGATCGCTGCAAAAAGAATGGCGATAGGCTGGGAGAGGGAGGGAGAAGGGAGGCGACCCAGCAGCACGAGGAGGAGAGAGCCTGCAGCTGAACTGCGCCGTGCAAGCAACATCAACGGATCGCCCCGCCAATGCGCCAATGCCCCGAAAATCGGAGCAGGGCGGTACGGTACAATCATGGCGGGAGAGGAGGGCTCCCTTCCTGCAACCTTGATCTCTCTGCAACCTTTTGCTTTTTGCCAATCAAGCCACCATGCCTACCTGAACGACCTGTCGGACCCTGTTTTGATTTCACAAAAATGTGTTTCAGAGGCTGAGCTGGGGGAGAGGCAAATTCACCAAAGAGCAGCCTCCCCATGCACCCTGCAACGCTGTTAACTGCTGCATGGAGCGCGAGCGGCCTCCCCACTCAGCCCGCCCGCCGCCCGGCTCCCCCCGCCTGGTGCCGCAGGCATAGGGCGGTGCCCGGGTGTGCCGCCATTGTGCAACACGCCCAGTGCCAGAGCTGTGCCAGAACATGTTTGTTTTGAAGAAGCTCTCCCAATTGCAACTCCATAATCACGCACAGGAGCACCAGGGGACCTCAGGCGGTGTAAGCAGCGGGCCGCCCGTGCCTTAGGCGGCGGCGGCTTCCCCTCGTGGGCTGCTTCTGGCAGCATTATGATGCTCTCCTCTCGTGTGCAGTAAGCACTGCCGCTGCTGCAGTTCCCCTCTGCCACCTCGCCCAGACATGTGCCCTGCGAACGCCCCTGGCTGAATTGCCAAGAGTCTCAAGAGGCTGCACAAAGCACAGGCTACCGCCCGATCGGCGAAACAAGCTTCCTGCCCCAGCTCTGTTGCTGCCTGCCCGAGTTTCGCGCCCGCCCGGGTCCTTGCATGGGACCTACTTGGACACCCGCCGGGCCTGCCTCGCCCTCTAGTCGGGCTTTCTGCACCCGGGGAACAGGTGGGACCACAGCCCAGCTGCCGCCGCGGCATGCAGCCTGCATGACCCGCCCATCGAGGGGGCGTGAGCAGCTGCAGCCGGAGCTGCGCTGTTTTCTCATGAACCAGCGTGTCAAGGATGCTTGCACAGCCGGCGGAGGAGCAGCCCAGCCCTGGCACCACGGCAGCAGAGGCCTCCGGGCCCAGCACAACCCCAGCGCACGGCTGGAAACGCTGGGCCAATGCCCCGGTGCCGCCTGCCGCGGCGCCAGGCCAGGCAGCAGGCGCCCCGGGGGAACGCCACGTCGCCGCCGACCGCGTCGCCGCCGCTGCCCGCCCGCCGGCCAGTTGCCTGCAGGAGCGACGGCAGGATGGTGCAGATAGGCAAGAAGGTGGCCGCGGGCCCCAAGAAGGGCAAGAAGGCCCTGACCTTCACCATTGACTGCGCAAAGCCTGTGGAGGACAAGGTGCGCTGGCCGCCGCTGGACCCGCGCGGGTGTCGCGCTTGCACCGCTGCTGGGGAGGCATGGGCAGGGCAGGCACGCCACGTGCGCCGGCAGCGCGTCGCCGGCAGCAGCAGCCGCCCAGCTGCAGCTATGAGGCAACCGGGCGCAGCACAGGCCAGCAAGCGGCGCCGCGCGTCGCGAGCGCGGCCACATCCCGTGTGGCACTTGTGCGAATCGCACATCCATCTGCACTGGGCTGCCGCACGCGCGCCGTGCTGCTGACTCTGCTGCTGCCTGCACTGCACCGCACCGTACCTCACTGTACCCGCAGATCATGGAGATTGCTTCCTTTGAGAAGTTCCTGGTTGACAAGATCAAGGTCGGCAACAAGACTGGTGAGTACTTGGTGTTGCTGCCTGGTCGGGCTGCTGCTGGGCTCGTGCTGGACGGGAGGCATGGGAGTTGGTCGCTGCCGCCGCCTGCTGCTTGTTTGGGCTTGGCTGGCGGCGCAGCAGCAGCGATGCCCAGCCACAGCGACGGCAGCAGCAGGGATAGCAGGCGCAGCACGCCGCAAGCGGCTCCGCGGCGAGCCTGGCTGGTCTCGTGGCTGTGACACATGGCAGCGGGGTGCATGGCGGCAGCAGGGCGCATGGCGGCTGCGCTGGCGCATGCACAGCTGCGTGGGGCAAAGAGCAGGGACTGGGGCGGCAGCCTTGGAGGCAACGGGCGGCAGCCAGCCCTGGGCGAGGTGGCAGCGCCAGCAGCAGGATCCATGCGGCCGGTGCATGTGTGCCGTGCGGCACAGCAGCCCTTCCGTCGGCGGCAGCATGCGCGGCTCGCAGAGGCGGGGCGGCCAGCCCACGTGCGGTGAAGCAGCCGCGGGCAGCGCGCGCGGGCGCAGCGCGTGGCAGCAGCCGCTCGGCTGCCAGCCTGCGCCCCAGCCTCTCGACAGCCCCAGGATCTCTTCCACCTTGGAAAATGATGCTGCCGCCGCCCCCTGCTGCACACACTCCCTGCTAGGCACCATGCCCTCGGCCCCCTAACCCTCCCTCCCCTCCCTCCCGCTCCCCCTCCTGCCCCGTCCACCCCGCAGGCGTGCTGGGCGACAACGTCAAGGTGAGCCGCGACAAGACCAAGATCACGGTGACGTCGGAGATCGCGATGAGCAAGCGGTACCTCAAGTACCTCACCAAGAAGTACCTGAAGAAGGTGGGCGGCAGCTGGGTGTCGCGGCGGCCCCGCACCGGTGGCTGCCGCGCTGTGGCTGCTGCGGGCCTTGCCGGGCCGCACAGGCATGAGCAGATAGATGCTGGCGTGCCCCTAGCACCCCTCACCCTCCCACCCCTCCCCTCCCTCTCCCTCACAGCACAACGTGCGCGACTGGCTGCGCGTCATCGCCTCCAACAAGGACCGCTCCGTGTACGAGCTCCGCTACTTCAACATCGCAGACCAGGCGGAGGATGAGGATGAGGACGAGGAGTGAGGCGGGGCCCGGGCACTGTGGGGTGCGCCCCCGCCCCCCGCCCCCCGCATCACACACGCGGAGCGAATGCAGTGCGCTGCTCCCGGCCCCTGTGGCGCCTTGCGGATGTAAGGCACACCATAGCAGAGAGCAGCTGGCGGGCCGCTGTGGAGTTGCGGGGAGGCGCTGTGGAGCAGAGCTGGAAAGCACACCGCAGCTGCTGGTGGCGATGCACAGCAGAGAGGCGCGCTGCAGCAGCTGGGTTGGGGAGTGTGGCTTACAGGCGTGGGCGGGCGGCGTGCAGGGCTGTGGCCTGCCGCCGTCACAACCGCGGCTCCCCCGCTGGGCCCAGGCCGTAGGGCGCGGGCGCTGCAGCTGCTGCCGTGGATGAGAGGCCTGCCGTGGCCGGGGGCTGCGTTACACTGCTGCCCCCTGGATCGGGCGTGGCTGCTCTCAGCGCTTGGCTGCTGCTGCGCAGTATGGCCGTCTCGGGCCAGGGCCAGGGGACTGTGCAGTCAAACCACGGAATCCAGGGCGTGTCTGTGGGGAGGGACGCATGGGATGCGGGCGGGCGCATGAGTGCAGCTTCGTGCAGCTAAGCAGCATCCACCCCACCGCCTGCCTTGCCCACCCCATGCTGCGCATTATGAATTGAGTGCCCACCTGAGCAGAACTTGAGCGCAAAGGGGTCTGCCGCCCAGAAGGCGCACACCATCTGCCCCGTCTGGTTGCTGGACACGGGCAGGCAGCCGCCGGGGGGCCTCTGCGTGGACTTGAAGAAAGGGTCCAGGCCGTATGCGCCCACCCCCTGCACAAACACGGCGGCGCCCAGCGCCAGCGCCAGCCCGGAGGCAGGATGGTTGAAGGCGGCCAGGCTGGCCAGCGCCCAACCCAGCGCGTAGTGGTGCAGGTGGAGGTCAAAGGCGCCGCTGGCGGGCAGCGCGGCCATCCAGGCGCCAAAGTAGGCCAGCAGCGCCAGGCGGGGCAGCAGGTAGAGCGCCAGCCCGCGCCACCGCGCCCGACGGCGTCGCCGCCGACGCCGCTGCTGGGCGCCAGGGATGCCGCAGCGAAGGCTGCGCGTGGTGCCGCTGCAGCTGCTCCTCCCGCTGCCGTCTCCTTGGCTAGGAGCCCCTGGCCAGCAGGTGATGCTCCAGCCAGGGGAGCTGGGCTCCTGCGCGGCCGCCTCATCCACGCCCATGCGGACTGCCGCGTCGGCTGCGGCAATGCTGCTGCTGCTGCCCTTGCTGCGACCGCGGGCAGGCGTGGAGCCGTCATACCCTCCTGCCTCCATGGCCAGCCAGAAGTGGAAGAGGGTGGCTGCCGTGACCGCCGACCCAGCTGCAGGCATGCGGGTGGAGCAGAGAGGCGCAGGCGCTCATGCTCGTGGTCTGCCGACCGATCGTGGGTGTGAGCCAGAGCCAAGTCATGCTATGCCTCCTGGGGAGCAGCGGGCCCCGCTCACCAAGCGCCAGCACCGCAATCATCCCCGGGCTCGCCGCCACCCCGCCGCTGGCCAGGCTGCTGTGCAGCGCCGGCAGGTTGCTGAGGGCGGAGTAGGCTGGCAGCGCGGTGGCATAGGCCAGCCACAGGTAGGCGCGCCGCCGGCTGGCCAGCCAGGCAAAGCGCGCGGGCCTGGTCACACCCGCCAGCCAGCCCAGGCCGCCGCCCACAAAGGCCAGGGAGGTGAGGGTGGAGTAGACCTCTGACGCGTCCACGGCGTCGCAGTCGTACGGCAGGCCTCCGGCGCACAGCCCGCGCTGGAAGCCGTAGCCGGCGCACAGCAGCGCCAGCCAGCAGGCCTGTTGCGGGACGCAGGAGGCGGAGTGACGCAGCATGGCGACGTCACAAGTCCCTATATGCAGCCTGCCCGCGCTTCCCACAGCACCCTGCACCTCTCATGTGCAAGCATGGCTCACCAGGCGCATGAAAGTGCCAGCTTGCTCCAGCGCAGCGTCAGGCAGGTGGGCGGGCACCCCCGCTGCCACCGGCGCCGCTGCTAGCACTGCCTCAGGCTGCTGCGGCGGCGGCTCCAAGACGAGCTGCACGTGACCGTGTGCTGCTGGGATGCTGAGCCCGTCCGCAGGAGGCAGGCCCTGTGTTGCCCCCTGATGTGGCACCCTCCCGATTGGGCAACCCCCGCCCCCGCTCGCTCCTGGCAGCCCGCGCGGCGCTCCCCTCCCATACGTGAACTGACCCCATAGAGCCATGTTTGAGGGTTGAGCGGGGCGGAGCGGGGCTGCTTGCACACGTGATGGCATGCACGCTTCAACGCTCCCGCTGTCATCTCACCTCTCTAGCGTCAGAAATACAACTCTTACAAGCCAACCAACACGAACAGAGAGACCGAACAACAGAAATGAACAGGAAATATGAAGCCGCCACAGGCGGCAGCACCTC